TAGGGGATCAGGCTCCAGGCGGTTCAGATTTGTTGTTGCTTGGGTTTGAGGGCTTCAGTGCTTGGGGTTTTGGGGCTTGAAGCTTTCGATGGAGGGGATTCAAGGTTTCTGGTCGCGGACCGCAGCTTCATGCTGAGGATTGGTTTAGGGTTTAGGTCTACGCTTCTTTTTTGGTTAGGGTCTAGGGTTCAAAGGGCATCTAAGACTAGGCATCTCTTCGTGAAAAGCATTCAAGAAAGGCAGCTAAGCAGCACTCGCTCTAGCTCGAGCACTGGGGGATGATTGGGAGTAGTTTCGTATTTGGAATACTCAACAAGAACATGTCTAACAGTGATCGCACAGGAAGAGACAAGTGCTATAACCAAAATAGTAAGTGCAGCAATACTATTGCTAAACAAGAATGGCAACTTCATCTCAGTTCAAGTGACGGTGCTTACGATAGTTGTGATTCTAAATCCTAAACCCTAAACCCTAAATCATGATGCTGGCACCGTGCTAGAGCATTTGGAGACAGGAAGCTCTGATCGGGAAGGCTGAAACGATATTGAACGGTTTAGGGTTTAGGGTTTTCGGGTTTAGGGTTTGGAGTTTGGGGTTTACCTAGTGTAGGCAGGCTGGTATCAGAGCCATGGGAATCCCAACCCAAGAAGAGATCGTGATATAACATGCAGTCCCAAGAACGCACAGTTTCAGGCCCTGAAAATGAAGATACGACCATTGCGAAACAACAAGCATCAAATGGAGCCCTTATAGTTGTAAGAGCAACAGCGTACTTCCGGTGAGAATTGCAATCGCGACAGAGTACCCCTAGTGATCTTACTGTGATGAACTTTCCATTGTTGCAGGTCTACCCCCTGTAGCGTTTACGTCTTGATCAGGAGTCTGCCTCACCAGTACGGCTGACATGTGCCAACAAGGCTGCTAAACCACAGTCATCATCACGGTGATGCTGGGCGAAGAAACAGGAGCAGGGCCGAGATTGGGATCACGATGGCCATTACGATGGCAACGATGACCACCAGCCATTGTCATGGGGTGAATCCAGAAGGTGATGACAGCAATGCTAGTTTTGCCGACGAAGGTGCAGTTGCTGATGTGGCTGCTGATGCGCACCATCATCATCGTCATGGTCATCATCATCACCAACATCATCATAATTGCAAACATCGTCTTCTCTTCACATGCCCAACCTCATCGTTATCCTCAGCGCAAGAAGCGCAAACTTCCACCACAGCAGGTATAGATCACGACTGCTAGCAGCATAAATAGCAATGGTCCTGGTGGTACCCTAGGCTGCAGAAATTGTACTGCTGCTGCTGCTACTTCTACTGC